CCGGAAGGAGCCACGCCAGCCACACTGCACGCCCCGGGGTGGCAGGACACGCGCCACAGGCCCGACAGCCCCGGGGCCAGCCGGCACCAAAGTCCCTCCACATCCAGCCTGCGTTTTGCCCACCGCCGGTCTCACTCCATCCAGGGTTGTATTTTCAGTCAGTTCCTAAAATGTTTCTTCCGAGTTCACAGTTGGCACAGACGACGCTTGCTCCAGTTTGCACGGGCAGGTCCCAATTCACAAGCCCCGCTGCCCGGCCCCGTGAAAGGGCCCAGAGGCCTAGGACACGCGCCTTTTCCGGCGACAGCCTGTTCCGGGAGGCGCTTCACACACACGCGTGTCTCAGCAGTATGCCTCCCCCCCCCCGCCACATCCCCGGTCCCCCCCGGGGGGCAGCGACCCCCAGAGCGGCTCGTCCTGGGGCAGCCCAATTTGGGGCCAAAACTTTTCCTCGCCCGCCCCGGTTTAGCCCCCACCAACCGCCGTGCCCTGTCCCCCAACCGCCTCCAACCGTCACCCGCCTCGCACTCACCGCTCGCAGCGGCCTCCGCGGCCGGGCCTGGCCAGGCCTCCCGTCACGTGAGCGGTGTCACGTGAGCGGACGAGGCGGGGGCTGCCCGCGCCCGCGGAGGGCCCCGCAGGTGGGTGCTGGGGGAGGGGAGGGAAGCGAGGGTCGTAGCCCCTTCCCCAGCCCCCGCCACTGCCCCCCGGCCAGGCCCCGCAGGCAACAGTTGAGGGCCTTCGTGGCACCCCGGGGTGCGTTGGGCTCCCCCTCAGTGGTGCAGACGGGGCTGCCAGGGCGGGTGTCCCACAGGACTCTGGCACCCGAGGCAGAAAAGCAGCTCTGTTATTTTTTTCGCAGGCACAAAAGAGGCAAAGCTGAGAGGCTTCGTTGTCGTCATCGTCATCTGAGGGGCCTCGCGTCTGGAGCGGTGAGCGCCGCTGTGCCTTAGGGTGGGAGCGTCCCCTCGAAGTTCAGCGCCGCCTCGAACGTGTCGCGCGGAGCCCTTGGCGGCTCTGGACTCCCCCGGGAAACTCCTGCTCTCCTCCCTGGAGCGCGAGGGTCTGCGGTTGCCGGTCGCTTCCGCGGAGCGTGAGCTGCTGGGTGAAGTGGGGCGGCCTGGCTTCGTGTGGGGATGGCCGACCTGCGCCGCCCAAGTGGCGTGCGACAGGTTGGGCAGGGAGCAGAAAGCAGAGCAGTAGGTCAGATGGGGGGAGGGGAGTGGTGCTTGGGGAGACCACAGAGCTAATTTGAGGCCTGCCTGGCAGAGCCATTGGCCCCCGCTGATTTATTGTGAGAAACTTCCTTTGTTATTTTAAACCATGAAGCTGGTGATGGGTTAAGCTGCAGCCCCCCCAGGCTCCCACCCCGTCACCGTTCCCTGCACAGCTCCTGGCTCTGGGCTTCCTCTCACCCTCTGGCTTTTGCAGCCTGCACATCCCAGGGGGCAGGCGGTGCAGCTGGCAGTCAGTGCAGCAGGGAGCCCGCAGCGGGGTGCACAATCCATGGGAGAGCTGCCCACACACATGGTGTAGCAAGGTGGGAATTACTTATTTGTGCAGTACAGTTTGGGGGTGCTCCTGCTGTGACCCATGTGGCGTATGGCTGCTTGTGGCACATGTGCTGCAGGTTGGCCATCCCTGTTTAAGAAAAAGTCTGTGCTTTGCAGAAGCTCTGGGCAGCTGTCGGAAAGTTTCTACCCAAAGGGGGCGTGCGGGACTCTTCCAGCTGAGTTCAGAGCTGGCTAAGGGGTCCTCACATGGCTCCTTAAAACCTAAAGCCTAAATTTTCCTTCCAAACAAGCCAGTATTACACAGATGCAGTGCTTTCTTTCTGCCTGCCAGTGAGCCACAACCCCACTGCCTTTGCTCTGAGTAAAGGCAGTGCTCACAAGCTTCAGCAGAGGAAAAGTGACCAAAATCTTGACAGTTGCCTTGCAGTCTTCCAGTGTCCTGGTTTTCTGAGTGGGCAGCAGTGAAACTGAAAACAATCAGGTCAATTCTGTTTTCATGAAACTGAAAAGCAGGAGCATACCTGGGTTATTTACTAGGGAGGAACACCTGAAAACGAAATGAAATATGTTATCATGCGCATGGCAGCAGCAGATGAACAGTAGAGTAGGTGCTTATAAGAATGAATGGAACGCCTTAGGCTACAGAAAAGGGATTTGTTTTTTAAGAGGTGGGGAAACACTTTCTAATAGCAAAGGTGATTTAAGCAATAGAATAATTTTTCAAGGGAGAAAATTGATGCAGTGTCCCTAGAAGTGTGTAGAGTATCACAACAGAGGCATACTTGTAAGCTGGTCTTTAAATTCTCTCTCTCTGCCATGTAAATCTTGTCTGAAGACCTTGTTTCTCAGTAGATGAGAAGGATGAATGTTAAGGTATGGATGGGAGGGGGGGGAGAGAGAGAATAAAGAATATATTTATCCTTTGTCATTAAAACAAACAAGCAGAGAAATGACTTAAGTCATGTTTAGAAACAGCTTTCCAAGCAAAGTGGCTGCTGAGACGTGAATAAAAACCCAGTGCTTTATGGGAAGAAGCAGTGTGTTAGTTCAATCTGGCTCTGTAGCACCTGTATGGATTGTGCACTTCAGCAGGGCTTTTCGGCACTTTTATCTAACAGCTAGAAGGATTCAATCAGCTAGTAGATAAAAGCACCAGAAAAAACCCACCAAAGTGCCCAGTTTATACAGACATTGGGCAATCTGGGGCAAACTAATGCAGTGCCTCTTCTGAGCATGTGCTGTGCTCGGTGCAGGGGCGCTGTGAATTTGAAGTGCTGTTTTGGGGGGTCTTTTTGTTTTTTACATCTGTAAGCAGGCAGTGATGATTGGGGGGAAAGTACTTGAATCCCTTCAAGATTGAGCTGGAAAACTTTATGGATGGTTGACATAATAGGATAGGGAGTTGTGACTCAATCAGTTGGTGTGACTTGTGTTTGCAGTGCCCATGTTGAAATGCCTCTTTTTGCAGTGGCAGGTGCATTTCATAGGTTTTGCTAATTGCCAGTTCAGCCAGGAAAGTTCTCACCCCCCTTTCCCCTTGTAAATGCTCTTGGCTTCATTTTTGTTTTCCTTGCATTTATCTGAACACTGGAATGTTGGCTACAGCTGAGGTGTGGGTTTGAGTCAGGTGCACTGATGCTTCTGTTGTTATTTAAAAAAAGCCACAGAGTTTTATTCTTTTGCTCAGATGCATATTGATCTCCTAATTTAGACCCAGAAAGCAGTTTTTCCCTTAGGTCAGATTGGGACAGAGTGTGTTCATGCATCTCTATGCATATATGTGTGTGGTGTGTCTTCTGTAGCTTAGAGCTTGATTCCAAGGATCCTCTCAGCCTACATTAACTAATCACTTTTATATCTTTGTGACAAGGTCTGGGGAGAACCCTAGTCTCCTCTGCTTTTACTTACAATAGGTTATAGGGTATTCTTAGCGTTGCACATATTGTACCCTGTAGTTGATCTGAGGGTTTAAAGTAGCTTTTTAATAGAATTATTGCCTGCAAAAGCAGGGAACTGGACTCAGTAACCCAGGAAGTCTCCTTGATCTTCAGAGACAGGTGCTTTTTTTAAAGGAACTCTTCCCGCCTCTGGTTTGACAGTCTTTTAGATTATATTGAATATAGTAGTAACTACTCTTCTTAGGGGAAAAGAGAAGCTTAAGTTGTGCTGGACTGAATCTGTTGGAGTCTGAGCCTGCTTCTTCAAAGATGAGCAAGACATAAGCA